TTTTTTACAAATTTATTTGGAATAGATTTTAGAACTCCATCTTCAGCACAATTATACATGCAATCTCTTTACCGTCCACAATTCGGTAATGAACCTGGAAGTTCTTCAACACCATTTCAACATCCGGTGGTTGATGATGAACCAAATCCTTTTGAGCAACAACCTCCACGGCGTAATCTAGGCCGTAATAGACGTCGCCCTCGTTGTGGAACTGGATACCATTACGGAGATTGAAAAATGTATATAAATCACTCTATGTTAATGTTATTATTTTTTTATTTTAATGTACTATGTGTCTTTATCAATGTAATATGAATTTTAATATTATGCATTTTTACATTTAATGCACTAAGAAGGTTATAAACTATTATAATTATAAGTATTGTAGCGAACACAATATACGATTTCAACACAAACACAACGTAGTATCCGACACTAACACCAAGTAATTAACTTTAATATTACATAACTAAATAAATTTATTACAACTGATTACAACAATAATGATCAATGGTGGCGGGAACTACATCCATGACTAATATTCGGACATGTCTTCCTAGTGTGACCAGGAGTGTGACAATAAGAACAATTTTTGACATGAGTATGTTGTTCTCTAATATCCATCTCTGTTCTAATCCTGGTGGACTTTGGTCGACCCTTGGAAGTTCTCTTCAGTTCTGGATTTGGCCACAAAGTTGGACCAGTGTAAGTAGGCCAATAATCTTCATGTCGAAGCTCTCCAAACTGTCCTTCGTATACCTTTGCAACTTGTTGTAAGGTATATATGGGAGATATGTACCTTTCATAGTCATGATGTGCATGTAAGCATGAAGCAAGTACATGTGAGCAAGGGATATGAACTTTCTGGAACTTGCCACAATCACACCACAATTCATTAAGCCTTACTACAAATCTCCCAGCTGGTCGAACTTCTCTAGAATGTTGCGTTTCTTCCACTAGAAATCTACTGCTTAATCTGTCAAAGCTGATAACTCTATGAGTATTTGCCTTAGACTGTGCATCTTGAATAGTTTTATTTGCAATTTCCGAGTATACATGTCCTGCATTAATCATTGCGCCCACTTCCGTACCTCTTTGAACGAAAAACTTGTTGCAACGAGTGTATGTGGCCATTACCATGGAACAAATTGGCAAATTTCGTGTTTTCTTCAATACGGAATTAATTGACTCAGCTAGGTTTGTTGTCATGTGTCCCCAACGTCGTCCATTGTCCCATGCTAGTGTCCATTTTTCCCTAGGAATGTTGTCTAACCATTGAGCTGCTTCAACATTAGTATCTCTTACTATGTTGTAATAGTAAAAGAATCTAGGTTCAGTCATCCCGTAGGCTGCAAAAAAAATATATTAAATAATTAAAAGTAATAATCAAATGCTTTTAAAAAAGTAATGATAAACTTACCCATATTGACGACATCCTTCTTCAGTGCTGCATTTTTGAATCATCCTATGAAATTTTGTGCAATATGTCGAATACAATAGACATGGACAGAATTGTTTTCCGTCCAACCACTTCCATTTCTTGAGTATGCACTTCGAATAGCTTCATGACGATCAGAAATAAGGCACAACTCATTTTGCGATGTTACATACCGCCTTAAGTTCTTAAGAAAAAAAAACCATGCATCGCTAGTTTCACCTTCAACAACAGCAAATGCAATAGGAATTATGTTGTTGCGATCATCTTGCGCAACTGCGACCAATAGTGTACCTTTGTATCGTCCAAAAGCCACCTTGGTAAGCCGGTTGCGTATTTAATTTCCAAATAAAACATGGAACATACATTTGCATTGCTTGCAAAATACCTAGTAACTTATTGTACGACTCCTCCTAGTTTCCAAAGATATTCTCAATGGCATGTTGCTTGGCCAACCATCCTTTTCTGTAACTAATTGTATAACCCATGGTGGACTTGATGTGGGCTATGATGGTTGAAATGGATGCCAATGGATCAACCTCAATAATTTCACCAATGCTTTGAGCAATCATTTGTGATCCCAATTTATTATGATCTTGGGAGATAAGTGGGGAAACACGTGTGGGGGCCCTCAAGGATCATGATTTCCCAATGTTGTTCCCTGGTGCGCAATATACCACGACATCTCCAGGCACAGTCATGGTGAACGCATTCCATAACAAGCTTACTACTGCTTGAGTTTTTAACCTTGTAAGTGCAATGGTTGACAATGTGAAATCTATTTATGGCGTCCTACATTTGTTCTTTTGTTTGGAAGCGTTGGCCAACAAATAGTGTTCCAGGTGGATACACAACCATATCACGCTCCAACAAATGGCTATACTCAGTGTCTTGTTGGATTTCATTGGGAAACTCTAAAAAGTGTGGAGGTGGGTTGTATATGGCTACTGGTTGTAGTGGTGGATTATTTGGAATTGGGAGGGTTTCTTCATCATCATCTTCATGTGCAGAGAGAATTTCGTCTTCGTCCTCGCTAAAAGGATCATAGACATTTTATGTTGGGAGACCAACAACAACATCATCTTCAATGTTGGTTTCAACATTGGGTTGAGAAGTAGAAGGTGTAGCTTGCTCAAATGGCTGAGAAGGTATTTGATTAAGGTCCATGATTGGACCACTTAAAAGTTGTGTGTATGACTCAATGTCGTAGTTGGAGAGGATATCATAAGAAGGGCCAAATGAGTTAGTGTTCTGGTAACTTTGATAAATTTCGTAAGGTGAACGTGAAGGTGAAACTTGCGGTGCATGTGATTCAACTGTAGTAAATGTAGCATATAATTCAATACCTGATTGAAGTTGATTAGAATCGTGAACATTGAAAAGTGCCTCAACGTCTTCATCATCCGTCAACTCAACACAGGTATAGTTACTAACCCCTGGGCCAAGTCTAATAGGGTACCGAAAATGTATGCTAGCCACCCTCTCAGAATCTTGTCGATGTAGCTTTCTGTGGATGACTCTTTGAAGCCTTTCTAGAGTAATTCCTCTGTTGATACGAACTAATTTTGCAGATGGAGAAGAGAAGGTGATTCCTTCATTCGGACATTGGTTAATGGAACCATCAGAATGAACAATAACGTAGATTGAAGAAGCCATTTTATGAAAGGTTTAAAGGAAAAGAATGTGATTCTAAGAAAGTAATTCAAAAGGAGTAGACGGAAGGAATAAAGGAGAGAAGGTAAGCTGAAATCGTGTGAAAATAATGAAGGGGAGAGGGCCTATTTATAGGAAAACCAGCGTTTTTACTGTTTGCCCAGAACGGGCCGTTCCAAAACCAGAACGGCCCGTTCCAAAACACGTTTTCTTTCGTTAAAACAGCTCCTGGAACAGGCCGTTCCACGTTCAAAAAAATGTGCAAATTTCTATTTTGGAACGGGTTGTTCTAAAACAAGAACGGCCCGTTCCAGGTTAAAAAATATAACTAAAAAAATTCTTTAAGACGGGCCGTTTCATGGGTCAATTTTTCCGTTAATTCTTGATTCTGGAACGGCCCGTTCTTGACCCGTTTTAATTTCAAAAAAATGACTCTGTGGCTTTAAGCAGAACGGCCCGTTCTGCTTTCGGAACGGGCCGTTCCACTTCCAACATCTGTCCAAAATTCCCCACAAACACGAAAAATATATATATATATTAAAACAACTCAGAATTCGGTTCCCCGGGAACCGAATTCTGAGCATGCACAGTAAATGGTTCTAGTGTGGTAAATAAACCTGCACAGTTGTTAATCTTGTAATTTTACTTTTAAAAAATATTATTTTGGTAAAAAATTCCCGTTTAGTCCGCAACCTGTGCTGATACAAGCTTGTAACTTTAGAATTTGTATCATCCTAATGATTTTTTTTTTCTCCAATATGTGAAGCTTGCTGTTTTCGCCTGTTAAATTTGCGGAACTTGGAGACTAATCCATTTAATATTAAGACTTAATAATATTTACTTTTAGGATATTAAGATTTTAATTTATAATTAATATATTTTAGCTTTTAAAATATTGAACTATTAAAATTTAAGATTCTGTTTGTTATAATGTGTGAATATTTATATCTTAAGACTTTAAATTTTTATTTAAAATTTTTTATGTTGTTTATCAATGTATTTATTTTATTTTTTAAAAATATTATTTTTCTTTCTCATATTTTAATACTTAAAAATGGGGAAAAAAATTCTCTTGAATTTAAAATATTTATTTTAAAAAGAAAATCTAAATTTTGGGCTGCAAATCAGCCCATTTCAATAAAAATTCTCATGTTTTCCAAAAAATTATTTTGACTATTTCGCAGACCAAAATCGATTAAAAATGAGGATTTCATCACCTAAATCATCCCTAGTTTTATAACATGTCACACAACTGTGTACGGGGTTGTAAGTTCTAATAAGTATTACTATAATATTGAAAATCTTAATACTTTTTTTTTAAAATTGCCAGAAGTAGTGAAGTATAACTATAAGCAAATATAAGAATTTAACTTACATGCATCCTAATAATGTAAGATCTTAATTACACATATATTCAATAGAAATCATATCCTCGTATCATTATTAATGGATAAGATAATATATATATAAAATAATCAAATATAATATTTTTTTTGTTTTATTTATCATTTTCATTTATATTCAAAAGGATTTTCACTAAGAATACTTTTGAAATTTAATTTGTATATGTAGTTATTGTATTTTGGTATTAGTTAGTATGTCTATTTGTTTGTGTTGGGTGGTTGGCATCCGAAAGAAAGAGCCAAAAATCTTGAAGCAGTTCGGTTCACCATGCTCGTAGGTAAACAACCAAAACTCTCTTGGAATGTGGCAAACGATATCTTTCAGGACCGGCCAGGAGTTAAAACGTAACATGCTTTATTTTGTTTGAAATGCTAGCTAGAGCTACTATCGTTTCTTATTATTAGAATATACTTTTTTACATGTACTCTTTAATTTCTAATTTTAAGAAATTATTAATAGACAATTGCATTTAACACTGACCTCACAATTTTTATATTCACTGGTCCATGTGTGTTGTGAGAAAAGTATTTTTGAGACTAAAATCTTCTTCATTGAGTGAGCTATGTATATTTGTTGACGTGAAACAAAGGATTATCCGTGGTGTTGTCTCTAACATCATCTTCACATAAACATAAAGATGAGTTACACTGCAGAGAGAAAGCCACACGCTGTGTTGACTCCATATCCAGCACAAGGCCATGTCAAACCTTTGTTAAAACTAGCGAAGCTGCTTCATCTAAGAGGCTTCCACATAACCTTTGTACACACTGAGTACAACTATAACCGCTTGCTCAAATCAAGGGGTCCTGATGCCCTTGATGGCCTACCAGACTTTAAATTTGAGGCCATTCCAGATGGACTGAATGATGATGATGGTGATGTTACTCAACACATACCCTCTCTTTCTGACTCTATCAGAAAGAACTTCCTCCAACCCTTTCGCAACCTTCTTCATAGGCTTAACCATTCTGCAACTGCTCCCCCAGTTACTTGCTTAGTCTCTGATTGTAGCATGTTCTTTACTATACAAGCTGCTGAAGAACTTGGAGTTCCAAACCTTCTCTGTTGGCCTGCTTGTGCCTCTTCATTCTTAGCTTTCATCAACATTCCCCTTCTCGTTCAAAAAGGTCTCATTCCACTCAAAGGTATCAATTAAATTGTGTTTTTACTTGTTTTATTTTAAAAGAATTTTAAAGAAATTATATTTTATAAAAGTTAAGTAAATATTCTTGTCTTAAATTATAAGAGAAAGTTAATTTATTTTACCTTCTTATTTTATTTTATTTTTATAAATTTTATAGAGAAGTTTATGTTATATATTACAAGTGCCAAATATGTATGTATATATTTATGTGTTAATATTAATTCATACATGGAGTTTTAAGTTATGTGCTTGTGTTTGTGATGTGCAGATGAGAGTTATCTGACAAATGGGTATTTGGAATTCAAAGTAGATTGGATTCCTGGATTACAGAACTTTCGGCTAAAGGACTTGCCTGACTTCATATGGACAACGAATCTAAATGATGTGATGTTACAATTTTTAATTGAACTTACAGTTAGAGTTCATAAAAACTCCACTATTGTTTTTAATACTTTGGAAGAACTCGAGGGTGATGTAATCAATGTTCTATCCTCTATGTTCCCTTCTCTTTACACGATCGGTCCTTTCTCTTTATTGTTAAATCGAAGTCCACATAACCACTTGGCATCTTTAGGTTCCAATCTTTGGAAAGAAGATACTGAGTGTCTTGAATGGCTTGAATCCAAGGAACCTAGATCCGTGGTTTATGTGAACTTTGGCAGCATCACAGTTATGTCTGCAGAACAACTCTTGGAGTTTGCTTGGGGTTTGGCCAATAGCAAGAAACCCTTTATGTGGATCACTAGGCCTGACCTTGTCATTGGTGGATCCGTGATTTTGTCATCTGAGTTTGTGAATGAAACAAGAGACAGAAGCCTAATAGCAAGTTGGTGCCCACAAGAGCAAGTGTTGAACCATCCTTCAATTGGTGGATTCTTGACTCATTGTGGATGGAACTCAACCACCGAAAGTGTTTGTGCTGGAGTGCCAATGTTGTGTTGGCCATTCTTTGCAGATCAGCCAACAAACTGTAGATATATTTGCAATGAGTGGGAAATTGGGATTGAAATTGATAGCAATGTGAAGAGAGAGGAGGTGGAGAGGTTGGTCAATGAGTTGATGGAGGGGGAGAAGGGAAAGAAGATGCGAGAAAAGGCCATGGAGTTGAAGAAGAAGGGAGAGGAGAAAACCAAGCCTGGTGGTTCTTCATACAAGAACTTGGACAGAGTAATTAAGGAGGTGTTGCTTAAACAAAACTAGATATGTTAATCTTCTTCGCAGCATAGTTATGTTGATCTTCTTCTCTTGTGGCTTCTGCTGACTGTAGTTCTTCCTTTCTTGGAGGGACAAATATTGGAAGTGTATAACTTCTCATTAGCTTATAATAATTGCTAGTAATCAACAACGAACTTTGGAGATTCCATCATTCCCAATTTCTAAATGGTACGAAATATTTTTTTACGAATGTTTTTACTTGATATAATTGATTTAAAATTGGTATATAAAAACTTTGTTAATTAGCTAAAATCATGGGTGATTAGTTATATGTAATTCGTATAAGACGAATTCGTATCAATTTGCATTTTCCTTTTTCCTTATGTTGAATGCCTCTTTTTCCTTTATTTCTCTTCTTATAATATTATATTTATATATATTTTCTCTCCCTCTTTTATAGAATTTCTTTTTTAAATATCATAACTATCATCTATTCAAGACAATTCTGTTGAAGTCAATTTGTACCCTTGTAACAACAAAAGTCTTAACATACACTTCAATAAAAGTGATTTTATAGCAAAACTATCATCGAATCATTCGATATCTTTTAACATTAGGTAGTATAATATTTTATAATTTTCTGTTTTATCTTATATTGCATAAATTAAAGTATATATTGGGAAAAAAATGTGATTGATAGCTAAAATATTATAATTTCAAGTGATTTTTTTAGGCCGTAGTTAAGTGATTTAGTGTTATATTTGATGTTATTATTATATTTTCAATATAAAAGATATATATATACTGATTTAATATATTTTAAATAATTATTTACTTTATATATGATTTTGAATATATTCCTCTCTCAATATTCTTACATAATCTATCTATTTTATTTATAATATAAAAATCGAATTATTCTGAATTACCTCGACATGTCAATTTAAAATATATCTAACATATTGTTATGTCATATAAGTAAAAATGTTTATGTGTCAATCGTATAATGTCTTTCTTATACTATTATAACTTTATAGTAACATACTCTATATCTCCATAGCCACAAAATCTAAATATTTGGATTAATTTTTTCAATAAGGTCTCCCATCAAGCATATTCATAACTCTTCTAATTGCAACGACTACACTTCATCACCTTTATCATCTCTCACCACCTACCCACCATCTCCATGTTCATCCCCCAAATCCTCCAAAATCTTCACCAGTTGTGGCTTCTCTGTCGAAGCTAAAACGACAATCACTCCTTCGCATCCGTCTTTGCTTACTTCTAAATTTTCCAAATCTTCATTGGTCACTACTTCTTTGTTGAACCGAAAACTGTGACAGCCGCACCTTGGTCACAAACATGTCAACTTTATTACAATTTTGTCTTCTATTTACAACTTTTTACTTCTAAATATTCTACCCAACTCACCTCTACATAAGAATCCAATAGAGACTATTTTCTTTCTTTTTGTTCATCTCTCCCATTTATTTGTTCTTCTTTCCAACTCTATTTTTTCCTATCATTTTTATCTATCAATATATTTTGGTTACATTTTTATTTATCAATATTGATGTATAATTTATCAACCAGATAACTATGAACCATTCTATTAACCTTCACTACCTTAAGAATGTAGTCCACTATGTACTCCCCTTTTAAGTTTGAAGGTCCCCATTGAAAAATCAAGTTGTCAAAAGAGAAGTAGATCTGAGTGTGAAGGGAGTTCTAATTCAATTACTACCAACAATCATGTCAAAGTTCTAAATATCCTTTCTATTGGCATTGGAACTATTAATATTGTTGTCAAGTTTGAAATAATATCTAACATATTAGATGAATTTTCATCTTTAATATTATCAATTAATGAAGACCATAACTTTAAACATATTATTCAAACTCAATAGCATGAAAGAGAACATGTAAATGCATGGAGGATTAATATAACTTTAGATATGTGGAGAAATACTACTTAGGAGGGCATTAATTATAGTTAATTATTTGACAAAAGATATAAATAGTTATTTGTCAAAAGATAATGTTGATTTTACTTTTCTTTATTATTTATGTTCTATTTTTTTATTAATTCTTGTAGCATTTAATGTGTTTTACAAATCCATATTTTCCTATAAAATTCATAAAATTCTTTAAAATTGTATGAAATAAATTCATCAAAATATGTTAAAATCCATTAAAATATGAACTATAAAGTCTTGATTAAAATTCATGTTTGCAAAGTCTTTTAAAAAAAACTTAAAAGTCACGATATTCATTTAAAGTCTTTTAAAATTCATAAGACCTTTTCATACTAAAATAATCTTCCGAAATCTCAATCCAATATACCTGGATCCCCCATATATTATAAAATTCATATTTTCCTATAAAATTCTTGTAGTATTTAATGTGTTTTACAAATCCATATTTTTCTATAAAATTCATAAAATTCTTTAAAATCGTATGATATAAATTCATCAAAATTTGTTAAAATCCATTAAAATATGAACCATAAAGTCTTGATTAAAATTAATGTTTGAAAAGTCTTTTAAAAAAAATCTTAAAAGTCATAATATTCATTTAAAGTCTTTTAAAATTCATTAAAATTTATAAGACCTTTTCATACTAAAATAATCTTTCAAAATCTCAATCAAATACACCTAGATTCCCATATATTATAGGGATTATGTAATTTTATATTTTTATTTTAATTGTCTACACGTTGATCTAGAAAGATAATTACATACTTATAAAATGAGAATTAATATGTATTATCTGACTACTAATTAAATTTCAGGATATTATTTTTAGCATTGTATGTTCATTATTTTTTTTTTCTCTTATAGCTTTGTTTATTTTTTTAATATCTTTAATTTCAATTATCATCTTATAATTTACTTGAATTTCAAAATTAATGTAGTAAAAATTTAAAAACAAAAACATAACACATTTATTTTTTAGTGACATGTTGGACACAAAAAACTAAAATAACAGCAAAATTCAATGTTTTGTGAAATTCTTTTTCCTAATTTGTCACAAACATATTTAGTATCCTACATATAATTATTATACACTTGTTATTTTTTTTAATATTTATTAAATATAATAATTTAACATAATTTTAATCTCTTTAAAATATAGTATATATATTTTTTGCCTATGCAACACATAAACTATGAGTTATTACGTTAGCACATCGTTATAAAACTAATCTCAAATGTTGCCACATGAATATTTTTGCTAATGTATCAACCCTTCTCCATCTCTCTACGTTTCTCATATAAGTGTTGGTTGTTAGGATCACAATCAATATAATATTTGATAGTTACAACCTTCACCATCAGTTAATTTGGTGATGTAATTTTTGCTATTAAAATTTAAGGTAATTTTCACAATTCTCTTTCTTATTTCGTTCTTTATATTTTCTTTTTCTTTTTCTCATGTTCATTTTTTTCTAATTTAAATATTCTAAATTTTAATTTTAATGTTCATCTTATGTTGCAATTTTTATCTTTGTCAATGTCAATGTGTATAAGAGATTCTATATTTATCTCTCTAACTAAAAACTTTATTATAATTTTAATGTTGTCGTTATCATTATTAAAAACAATTAATGAAACAGCTTCGAATGTAACGCCTTATTGAATAACAGTAATGCAGATCACATGGTCATAATAATTAATCCTACCTGAGTACCGTCTAACCACTTTTTATTTTCATTACGTTACGTTTCATACACTATTCACCATTAGTTATTGTATAAAGAGATAGTTAGCCCCAAGATTTAACGCGGCTGCATATACAAGGCAGGATTCGAACCCCTGACCTTGCTTAAGCGTGGATCAACCCCTACCGCTGAACCACACGCTTGGAGTTTCCTTTACACTTATCTAACATAAGGTTTGCCTTTTGGATTTTTTTTTTCATTTTTTGTATATAAAATAGTAAATTTTCCTCTTATGTCTGCGTTGTGAAAATTACTTCTGTTAATGGCAGTTTTTTTAAGCACCTTTACTTATTCTTAAGCAATACAGTAAGCCCCTTCCATTAGAGATATTCTAATGCAGTTAATTTTTAAAATATATTTATTATTATAATATAAAAGTTAAGTTATATTATATTATTCTTTTACATCTATACGATATTATAAAATTAATTTTATATATTATTATATTGGTATATATTTATTTATGTGACAATTTATAATATAAAAACTGAGTTATATTTTATGTTTGTAAATTTTGTAAATTAATTTTTAAATATATATATTTGTCATATTTTCTTTTTACTTTCTATATATTATATTTCTTTACATTTTATTTAATTTAAATTTTATTTTTTTATTGTCTAATTTTTATTTCATCATCATAAAATACTACATTTTTTCTCTCTTTTTTTTTTCTCTTCTACCTTTTATATTATATGTTTATATTCTATCTAATGTGTCTCTTATCTTTTTTATTTAATTTTCATCCCACATAACAATCTTTATTATTATAATATAAAAGTTAAGTTACATTCTATTACATTGACACGTTATTATAAAATTAATTTTATATATTATCATGTCAACATATTTATGTACATGACAATTTATAATATAAAAATTGAGCTACATTCTATGTTAGCAAATTTTTTAAACTAATTCTTTAAATTTTTATCTTTTATCACATTTTTTCTTTACTTTCTATATATTATATCTCTTTGCATTCTATTTAATTTAACTCTCAATTCTCTATTGTCTAATTTTTATTTCATCATTATCAAAAAGGTACTACTTTTTTCTTTTCCTTTTTTTCCCTCTACCCTTTGTATTATATATTTATGTTCTATCTAATCTATATTTTTTCTTTTTGTTTAATTTTCATTTCAAATAACAATCTTTGTCAGAAATGAAAGGTACTACTCTTTTTTTTTCTCCTATACCTTTTATATTATATATTTACATTCTATCTAATTTATCTCTCACCATCTTTGTTTATTTTTCATATATATATATATATATATATATATATATATATATATATACACTCACATACACACACGGTCTATCTAATTTATCTCTTACCCTCTTTGTTTATTTTTCATTTCACATGGTAATCTTTGTTAGAAATGAAAGTTTTCTTCCTTTTTTTTCTCTCCAACCCTCTATATTACATATTTATATTTTATCTAATTTATTTCCTTTTTTTTAATTTTCATCTCACATGATAACCTTTGTTAGAAATAGAAGATACTACTTTTTTCATCTTCTTTTTACTATTCTCAATTTATTTTGCATGAAAATGAAGGAAAAATAAATTATTAATGTTGAATTGAATCTTTACTTACATATTCATTGCCAATAAACCAATATGATTTATTTATTTATTTTAATTTTAATAGAAATTGAAAGTGACAATGATATATTATTTATATAACACTTTCTATAATATCATTTTTATTGTCCTTCTATATTTGTATTGAGTAAAAAATAGTTTGAAATTGTATTTAATTAATAAATTAGTAATTATATAAATAATATTAATAATTAAGAGATTAAATTTAATTAAAGTGTTCATTATAAAAAATAAAAATAAAAAAAAATATTGTGCAATTATTATTAATTATGAATAACATAAAAATATTTATTTCATCAAAACTATATATGAATTAATAATTTTATTAATTAAGAGATTAAATTTTGTTAAGTTTTCAGTTACAAACAAAACATTTTTAATTACAAATAAAAATGAAACAATATTAATTGATATTAATTGTAGATTAAAATATTCGATCATTAATTTATTATTTAATAAATTTAATTTGATTAAATTCTCCATTTCAAAAAAGAAATTATAATAATTAATATTAATGTTAATTATAAACCACTATCAAAAGAATCGTTTTTACTGAAACCTAATAATTATTATTAATTTATATTTTTGTTCATTAATAAGAAAAATAATAAATTTGATTAATATTAATTTTAAACAATAATTTTTTTTGACAAATCTCTCAACAATTGTATTTGTATATAAGGAGTTACATATTAATATATGTATATTCTTTATTATCAATTTATTAATTTATAAAATATTAAAATAAATTATTTTATAATTTAGTTATAAAAAATATTTATTTGGATTTATTACCTTTAATTATGAACTTTTTAAAAGATTATTTACTTGAGTCTTATATTTTTGAATTTGAATCTTAAAAAAAAAATAAAGGATGAAATATTATATAAATATAAATATCAAAAATATTTATAATAATACTTTTTCTTTATAAACCCTATTACTTGTAAAAAAAAATCAATAACAGACTTATATTATATAATTAAAAAAATTTATATATATAATTTATATATATAACTAATAAAATAATATTTTTTTAATTTAAATAATTTATTTTTTATCCTCGCATTGTGCGTGTCTATATCCGGTTTATATTTATGTTCGTAAAGCTTTGGCTGTCACTTCACAAATGACAAATCAGAGATAAGAGTTTCGCTTTACAAATGAAAAATCAGAGTAAGAGTTTTTGTGGACAGAAGTAATGACTTCCAATTCCAAATAAGGCAACTTCGCACATACCACCTCGTTGAATAAAATCATTTTACGCTAACAATCAACAATATATATTAATAGTAACTTTTTTATTTTAATTTAATTAAATAAACAAATAACATAACATTATTAACATATCTACCGGTGTAAAAACATGCATATAAATGATTAACTTTTAATAATTTAGATGACACAAAAGATTCAAATAAAATAATAGCACTTATCTTCCTCTCCCATATGTGTGGTAATAGAACAATATTTTTGAAACAATGATCTTCATTCATTGTGCTATATTTATTGACATGAGGTAGAGGCTGGTACTTGTCTTTCCCTTCATCTTCACAGAAAAAGAAAAAGAAATTGGAAGATGAGCAACATTGCAGAAAGAAAACCACACGCTGTGTTCACTCCATTTCCACTTCAAGGCCATATCAACCCATTGTTCAAACTAGCGAAGGTGCTTCATCTCAGAGGCTTTCACATAACCTTTGTCCACACTGAGTACAACCACAAACGCTACCTCAAAACAAGGGGTCCCAATGCCCTTGATGGCCTACCAGATTTTCGGTTTGAAACCATCCCAGATGGCCTTCCTCCCTTGGATGATGATGCTAATGGAGATGTTAGCCAAGACATACCCACACTTTGTGACTCTTTCAGAAAGAACTTCCTCCAACCCTTTTGCAACCTTCTTACTAGGCTTAGCCACTCTGCCATTGCTGGTCTCATCCCCCCAGTTACTTGCCTAGTTACTGATTGTTTCATGAGCTTTCCCATACAAGCTGCTCAAGAGTTTTCACTCCCTTTACTTTTCTTTTCCCCAGTTGGTGCTGGTGCATTCTCGTCTTTTATTCACTTTACTACTCTGTTTGATAGAGGAATCCTACCCTTTAAAGGTACCGATTTGAATTCTTCCTCCATTTGGTATAGTATGTATATGCAAGGGAAAATGAGTTTTAAGTTCCATTTAGACTCGATCACAATTAGTTTTAGTCTGGATACAAGGTTATAGTACTTTTCAAAAAATTTCTATTTGAAAAAGTTCTATATTTTTAAAGGACATGTCTTTAAATAGAATTTTAGTCCCTATATTTAAAAACATGGGTTTGGTTCTCGAGTTTTTTGGAATGTGATGGATTTCGCCCCTATACTTCTTTTTAACTTAACCAAGGCAAAATTCACCCACATTTGAGAAAACACAATGATCATAATCACAATTTTTAAAATGTAGGGCCAAAAACTATTTTTGTCCAAGTTCTGAGAGACCTAAAATACATTTAACCCCATATGCATTATGTTGTGTATGTGTTGATGTATGGATCTGTCACAGCTATTGACTTTTGTAATTATGATATGCAGATAAGAGTTATCTGACAAATGGATATTTGGACACCAAAGTAGATTGTATTCCAGGTTTACAAAATTTTCGCCTTAAGGACCTCCCTAGCTATATAAGGATAACAGATCCAAATGATTTCATGCTTGAATATTTCATTGAAGTAGCTAACCGAATTCCCAGAGCCTCTGCTGTTGTTTTCAATACTTTTGATGAACTTGAGAGGGATGCACTGAATGCGCTCTCCTCTGTGTTCCCTTCTCTTTATGCCGTTGGACCTTTCCCTTCATTTTTAGATCAAAGTCCACACTTGGCATCTTTAGGTTCCAATCTTTGGAAGGAAGATCCCAAGTGTCTTGAGTGGCTTGAATCCCAGGAACCCGGATCCGTTGTTTATGTGAACTTTGGCAGCATCACAATTATGTCTCCAGATCAACTCTTGGAGTTTGCTTGGGGTTTGGCCAATAGCAAGAAACCTTTTCTGTGGATCATTAGGCCTGACCTTGTCATTGGTGGATCCGTGATTTTGTCATCTGAGTTTGTGAATGAAACAAGAGACAGAAGCCTAATAGCAAGTTGGTGTCCACAAGAACAAGTGCTGAACCATCCTTCAGTTGGTGGGTTCTTGACTCATTGTGGATGGAACTCAACCACTGAAAGTGTTTGTGCTGGAGTGCCAATGTTGTGTTGGCCATTTTTTGCAGATCAGCCAACAAACTGTAGATATATTTGCAATGAGTGGGAAGTTGGGATTGAAATTGATACCAATGTGAAGAGAAATGAGGTGGAGGAGCGGGTCAATGAATTGATGGTGGGAGAGAAGGGAAAGAAGATGAGACAAAAGATCATGGAGCTTAAAAAGAGCGCAGAGAAGGAAATCAGGCCCGGTGGTTGTTCTTACAAGAACTTGGACAAATTAATTAAGGTGTTGCTTAATCAGAGATCAACAGATTGAAGGCTTTTTCTGTTTTACAATGCTTTACTATGATAATTGATTGATCTTCTCCTCTAGAATTTGCTTTATTGTGACAGAAATTATGCACCAGTTACGAGTGTGTTTGTGTTTTTCTTTGAATTGTTATGTAATATCTTCATCTTGGCATTTCAAACTATGATTCATTCCTGACATGGAGGATAATTCGATGAATAGCGTTACTGTTAGTACTTTCTATTAGTTGACTTAATTAATTTATTAGAGTGTTGTAATTAATTAACTCTCAGTTTATATTACCACGTTGGATGCATGTTACAACTTGTAGGTAGTAGGTAAAATTTCTATGATTGGAATTACAACTATCTATTTAATAATTATCATTAATATTTCAACCATGTAAGCTGCGCCAGCGACATAAATATATGCAGACAATATTACAATTTATATAGTAATATTGTAGGGTCTCAATGTGATTGATTGTATTTAATAATTTTTGTTTGACAGATTGTATTTAATAAGTTTAAAAGCCATAAATTTGGTCAAAATTAAAAACGCAAAACTAACTAATCATTATCTCCCTCTAGGTTTCTTCGTTTGGGACAGGATATTAGATCATCATAACTGAGGCGAGAGAGAAAATATGGATTGATATTGATAATTTTAGTTATAGATGCTTCTATCTCAACTCAAAAGTAACTTTCTTTATTTTGGCCGAAAGTTTGATTTGAAACATTTCATTTGGACAATAGTGTTGATTTTTTTGTGTTTAAATAATAAAAACAATAGTACTCATACCATTTCCTTTGAATGGGACATATCGAGATACAAACAATATCTCACATTAATAAAAATAAAACGAGAAATAATAATTTATACATACTTTAATAATTGAGAAATTTTTTGAGAAATAATCAAAAATAAAACCGTAAGAATTTAAACCCAAAGCAGATAATATCTCATCATTATGAAAATATGTGTGAAATAACTTTATAAAAAATAATAAAGTTATAACTCTCTCCTCTTAATATAAATATCTCCTTAAACAAGCGCCAAAAAATAACTCTAACAATGGTATTATAGTCGCAAATTGGATTCGGTAATAACCAGTAAGTTATAACAAAAAGTGATAAGTGATAATATGATAACAAAGATAGATTCTATTGAATGAGAGATTAGATTCCTTGTTTGAGGGAAAAATTATTAAGATACAAACATGATCTCACATCGATAAAAAATAAGAGAAATAACAATTTATAAAACATAAGCATACTTCAATGATTGAAAGGTCTTATAAGTGATTATCAAAAGAAATACCGTGAAACTTTAAATTCAAAGTGGATAATATTTCACCATTATAAAATTATGAAATAATCTTATAAAAATAAGAAAATCATAATCATCCTTAAGATATAAATATATTCTCTCAAACAAGTTGAGAGAAAATAATCTCAATAGGTCACTGATTCTGATGTGAGAACATCGAGGTGGATAAGCAAGTCCATCAAGCAATGGTGCGGGAGAGAGAAAACAATGAACTTAGACAAAGTGATTAAGGAGGAGCTGTTAAAACTAAATTTGGTTTCTTTTGTCTTCAGTGATGTATAATGGTGAAGCAATTAAACATATTGATTATTTTCTTCTTTTTTTTCCCTGCAGTGATATTGTAATATTACATATTTCTCCAGATGAATTACAGTGAAAATGAAATTTTTATTATGAACTTCGATTTGAAACTGGTACTCTTCTTGTTATTCCACGACCACTACTGAATGTAAGCCTGCTCTTTCTTGGCATTGACAATCTATTTTAAGGTTTGCTGCATTATAAGTTGAGCCCCTTCAACTAGCCTCTCTACCACTTCACCAGCAGGCAGAATTTCCTTGATGAGACCAACACCTTCGCCAGCAAACATCACCATGCTCTCAAGATCTCCTGTAGTTGTCTTGTTTGGGACAGTACCTGCATAACGTCGTATCTCTTTCTCCTGTTGCATGCCAAAAGTATATATAGTCAAAACACAAATGTCTGTAGTATACTACAGTTGCATTGTATATATATAAGGCTAGCATTGTTGCTGAAACCATACCACGCCATTAATTGTTGAATGGCCAATGATGGGTTGGTTGACTTCACTTTCATGTGCTGGAAGGGATCCACAATCCTTATAGAAAGATGTTTGCAAGACACGATGAGGGGCACCAGGCCATCTTGCCCTCCCAAATACATCTGTGTACGCAGTTTCTTCAAGCTCAACTAACTTTCTTTTGTATGTAGGATGAGCATTGCTTTCCTCAGTAGCCAAAAACCTGCAAACAAGATTCTTGCATGAAAACAAATAACAGTGCCAGAAATAAGTCCAATTTAAATTGAGATTATTAGGTTGGAGTGTTGGATATGGTGATAATGTTGGGAACTGTCGTATATCCGATCACTACCAACTGAATCTAATCATAATCTCATCATGAGGAATAAATTGTGTAATTTATTAGCCTGATGATAGGATTCTTTGGAGTCTGCAATTATTCTCAAGTTGAACACAAAAACCGCATATGTTAAGATATTACTGCAACTATATGAGAACAATTTCCTTAAATATGATTGATGTGAGAGTAATATTTCCAAACCTAGTGCCTAGACAGATGCCTTGAGCACCAAGTGCTACGGCAGCAACATAGCCTCGAGCATCCACAATTCCTCCAGCTGCAATAACTGGTATCTCTCTGTCACCAACAAGATCAACCACCCTTGGAACCAATGAAATTAAACCATCCTGCAATTCAATGCAGGGGAAAGCAATATCTTAGTGGCAAAAATGGAAAGTAGTATTGTGTAGTTCAGATTTGAAAAAATATGATTAGCTATCATTCACATAAGCTATAAAAGATCAACAAAGCAATGATAGACAATAGAAAGATGAACTTTCAAAATTTGTGAGAGCACTGCATATATAAGTGACGGTCTTCCCCTGACAACAACTAAGGACATGAGGCAGTAAATACAGAAGAGACAGAACAAGCCTCATTTCAACAATACTTCTAACAAGAAAAAATTTCAGTATGTATAAGGGGGAATATTTAGAATTATGCAGTCATTTTTTCTGATGGAAGAGCATTGATGATGAAATTTTGCTTTTTACCTCAAATTAAGGCTTTTCCTGATTTTTCTAGAGTTCAAAAAACAAGCAAAATGATCCAACATCTTCAGATATAAAATTGAACCCGAGAGGCAGAATGCTAAAAGATCGTGAATGTTTTTGTGGTAAAGCGCCTCAAGGAAAAAGAATGTAATGCCTACTTGTTCGACCCCTGCAACCACTACTGCATAAGTGTTGTCTCCGAATCTAAGTACAACTTGTCCCACTTGAATCTTTCGTATCAAACACAGATACGAGTCATATGACAGGCATGGAGACAACAATGTTGTTGTCGATTGTGACTGTAGGCCTTGTGTATGACATTAGCCACTTATGCTTGAATTTGATACAGAAAATCAACGATTCTTATTTATCAACAGAATCAACACCAAGATAAGCTACCTATGTTCTACGTATATACATAAAAAAATGACAAGCATGCATACCTGACCAATGACATGACCACCAGCTTCAAGTCCTTGTACAATTATTCCATCGACACCTGCTTCAATTGCCTGTTTTGCACCTTCAATATTCCCGACCTGTAATAGGATTACAAATAAAAGTAACAGGTTAGATACCAGTGACACAAAAAAATGAAAATAACATCTCGGTAAACAACACTAACCTACAATTAGCTTTCAACATGCCTCATTAAAGGGATAGCCTATCACCTAAGTAGTTAAATCAAACAACCTACCTACTAGCAATCAAGCAATTGCTGTTTTGAAAGCAACTTAATAAGGAGGAAGGATCACGAATTCTAAACTCTGCAACGGTTTTGATCTCAACTCAGAAAGTCAAGAAAAAGAGTAGAGCAGGCTGAGAGGTTCACTTTCTTGAAACAAACTTGGAGTTTAATTATCTTTAATTTAAAAGTAAAAGGAACGTAGTCTAATTTAAGCACACACATAAGAACGGAATCCTTAATTACCGGAGCAAAACCAAAATTAGAATATCATTGCCTCTTAGGATTTGCTTATAGTTTTGTAACCTAGTACTACTAATAAATGGGCACAAAACTCACTTGAGGAACAACTTTGACCCCAGCAGAATGAGCCTTATTTACCAATTCCCTCGTACAATCGCCCCACGAAATTTGCAAGACTGCAACTTTTTCATGGAGAATGACCTTCAAATTCTCCTCAAAAGGAAAGGCTAGAACGACACCAACCCCGAAGGGTTTATCAGTTAAGGTCCTAGTCGTCTTTATAAGTTCCCTCAAGTAATCCGGCGATTCCTGTTACAAGATCAAAAAACAATGCTCACACTTGATTACAAGAAACTTGTACCAAAATTTCATACATTTACACTTTACACTGAGCAATGAATTGAAGAACAAAAGCAACATACTGAAGCATTAGCATTAGCATACCCAGTCAGGGGCCCTAAGAAATCCAAGAGCACCAGCATTGGCCACTGCAGCAACAAGGTGGGGAGAAGAGATATCTGGGCCTAATGGTGCCTGAACTATACCATATTCAAAACCCAATAACCCTCTCCAACCCATCTTCCTCTTCAACTTCCTTTACCCAAAAATGGATCCGCATGCGTGGGGCTTTATAAGGTTAAATGATCCACACCACGTGTCATATCTTCGCTAGTTCTTATCAACTTAACATAAGCGAATAAGTATCATAGTTGCACTTGAACTCTTCTTCATATGATACAATTATTATTTTAACTGTTGGGGTTATTATATGTATCTATCCGAGGAGGTATTTTATAAGGTTATTTTTATAAAATTATTATATAAATATATTCTATAATTATGAGATATTGTTGGCATGAAAAGTTAGGTTTTTTATTTGAGAGAAAAATTATTGGGATACAAACAAGTCTCATATCGATAAAATATAATAAAAAAATAATAATTTATATAACATAAACATTCTTCAATGATTGAGAGACCTTTTGAGTGATGACCAAAAGTAAAATCATGAGAGTTAAGTTCTAAAGTGAACAATATCTCATTATTATGGAATATGTTTGTATAATAACCTTATAAAAATAACTCTTATAAAATATCCTCTCAGATAAATACCATATAATAACTCCAACATTAACGAACCCGTCAATTAATATAACAAGAAAAGCATAAGATGTATAAACTAGATTTTTAGTTTTGTCACTTGTCACATTCTAACTAGTTTATATTATAGCTTTATTTTGTTTCATACAGGAAGTTGGATTCAATTTTAATTTTTAAAGCTAATTATTATTTTTGTTGCTCATTGAACAGAGACCAAAATTATTATAACTTCCTCCAACTAACATTTCTTTCAAGTATTTGACTAACAAGAAAAGATAGATCTTACCTTAAAGAAGCACAAATCAAATGAAACTCCACCAACTACCTTAAATATTTAGTAAATACCATATAATAACTCCAACATTAACGAACCCGTCAATTAATATAACAAGAAAAGCATAAGATGTATAAACTAGATTTTTAGTTTTGTCACTTGTCACATTCTAACTAGTTTATATTATAGCTTTATTTTGTTTCATACAGGAAGTTGGATTCAATTTTAATTTTTAAAGCTAATTATTATTTTTGTTGCTCATTGAACAGAGACCAAAATTATTATAACTTCCTCCAACTAACATTTCTTTCAAGTATTTGACTAACAAGAAAAGATAGATCTTACCTTAAAGAAGCACAAATCAAATGAAACTCCACCAACTACCTTAAATATTTAGAGGAATGGAATGTGGTAAACTGGTACTAGTCAATAACGTAGTTGAGTGGTACAAAAAGGCTAAACTCACTATATAGAACTTACATAGGTAGAGTGATTTGGAATAATCCAAATTCCAAATCACTCTCAACGACTTAAAATCTTCGGATTTTTATACCTCCTCTTTTACAGAGTTTGGGTTGAAACAGTTCTCCCTGATTTAAAAACAAGAAAAGGTTATGACAATATTATAAGTACGCCCATCAATTTCCATGGTCATGTTTGGGGAAGTATTGGAGTTTCCATTCATTATCACAAATATGACTTTGAAAAAATTGTTAGTCTGGCTGTACCAAAGTAAATGTTAAGTTTATTCATAAAAGAACATTTAAGTACAAGTAATTTTTTTTTTTTGTAGCTATGTAAAAAATTATATTCAATTTTATTAATAAGTTTTTTTTCAGGAAAAAAATTAAAGTATAGATCACTTAAATTTAACTAAAATTAAGATTATTCAAAATCAAGTTTACAATTGTTTAAGCTATATCTGGAAAGACGATGAAATATAATTTTTCTCTTTCCAATGCATTTAACCATAAGTAATGAATGTATTGAAAAAGACAGAGAAACAAAATACATATGCGTTTAAGGAAAGACTGTTTCTACCATCTTTCCAAACATATGCTTAATGAAACACATTATAAAATATAAATCTTCCTAAAGTTGAAAAACAACAATCTTGTTAATTTGTATCCATAAACAGATATTTACATGTGTAATTAAAAATCTTAACAAAATATATTTTTTAAACAAAATTTTACGATATCATTTATGGTTGAGATTTGTATACAGTTTTCGCCAATGATAGTTTTGATCCACTGCAATCGAATAAAATGAACGAGTTACTTGGTCACCCACAAACAAATATATGTGATGATAATACTTTATAAGAGACTTGGTGGTGTTTCATTCCTTCTTACCAATATTCAATCTTTGAAAAGAACTGGGCTAAGTTGAAAGTTGTCCAAAAATATGTTCTCAAACACAATTTGTATCGAGAAGTTTTAGGATAGGCCGATGATATATACACTTTTTTTTTTAAGTACACCTTTTATTTTTATTTTTTTTAAATTCCTAAAATATCTTACATCTTATTTTTTTTAACTTTATACTTCCAACTTTCTTCTTTCTCTCAGTTATCGCATACATCCTCTTGTCTTCCCCGATTCTCCACTTATTTCAGTAAGTAATTTTAATTTTTTTTATTTTCACATTACTCTCTTCTCTCCTCACTTTTTTCACTTTTTCATATATACTTAGAACTAGTGCGCGACAACATTGTAGATATATACGGTTTCCTCGACTGTTTCTACTAAGCTAGACCCACATTTTTTTCTTTCAACACTTTCTTCTCTTTCACATCTCTAAAACCCTTAACATTAAGTTTAATGTTATGAAAAAGACATTCTGAAACACTAATTTCACTATTTTTGAGTACTTTTTGGGATAATGAAATTAGTGTTCGAGAAAGCATTTTCCAGAATTATGTTTTTTACATACTTTAGAAAAGTACTTTCTGGAATAGAAAACTTAATATTTAAGAAAGTGTTTTTCAAAATAGTAAAACTAATGTTTGGAAAAGTATTTTTCGGAAATGTGTTGTTTTACATAATTTTATAAAGTATTTTCTGAAACACTAAATTTACTTTCCCAAAAGGTATTTTCCAAGAGTATGTTTTGAAAAATATTTTCAAGAACTAATTTTAATATTCCAAAAAGTATTTTCTAGAACACTAAAATTATTTGATATTGTGTTTTCTAAATGTTTAAATAGGGAGAAATGCTCGAAGAAAAAATGCGCATTTAGCTCAACACTTCTAACATTATCGAGAAAGTTACATGCGCCTATAATACTGTTAAAAACTAGTTCTATGCCCTAGATGCATGTTAAAACTAAAAGATGAGAGGGAAAGATAATAGTGTGAAAAATGAAAGCGGAGGGAGAAGAGAATAATGTAAAACCAAAAGAATTAAAATTACCTACTAAAATAAGTGAAAGTGTGGAAAAAAAAGTAAGGGAGTACATGTGAAAACTAAAAAGAGGGGCGAAGGAGGTGCGTAAAAAAAAAGAAATATATATATTAAATTAAATATTTAGGGTGTAAAATTAAAACAAAAATTAAAAAAATTTTAAATTTTTAAATTTTTAAACAAAAAAAAAAGAGATATACTTATGTAAAAAAATAAAAGGAGGTATATATATAATGAGTCTTTAGAATATTTTTTCATAAATTCCAAAATGAATCTTTACTGTGGGCCCAAATCCCATATTTTTTGGGTTGGGCCCAAATTTCTAAGTTGAAAGTTGGCCCAGTTCTCTAATTAGTGTGGAGCTAATACTATTGATCAGTCTCACACAAACACGTAGGCAGTACTGTTGGAATTCGACGGAAGGATCAACCCTTCAAATTTTTCGTTTAACTAAACAAAGGATTTGATGACATGATCAATGCGTTCTTAAAAATCTAGTGAAAAACCTAACTATTTGTCATATTCTGAACTGAGCGTATGCTTCAATTACATAATTTTAATGCATTTTTTACTAGAATTGGGATGTAAGCAAAATCTCACATCATTTAAACAAGAAAATAGACATGGGTTATATACACACTTGTCTCCATTGATTGAGAGACATTTTAGGTGATGTTTAAAAGTAAATCTGTGAGAACTTGGTCTCAAAGTGAATAATATGGTAGAGACATGTGTATATGTATGGTAACCCCTGATGTTCAACAAATGATATAGTCTGAGGTAACCGGCTTGACGAGTATGATGGCTACAGGTGAATCCAAGTTTCAAGTTTGGGTAAGCTCTCTGAGGAGGGTAAATGGACATGGGAATATCTCACTGGATTGTTAAGATTAATTGTTAAAGATTTTAGTTATTTTTTTTAATAACATTTTGTTGAAAGTTTATAACCATTTCCCTCAAGTCCACTTCCATAATACAAGGCTCTTTACATACAGTGTTGGGTTCCTCAAGTTCACCTTGGACCCATGCTGAAGGGACTTAAAAAAAATTCAAACTTAAAAAAAAAAAAAAAAAAAACTCTTTAACAGTGACATTTCAACTTTAATAATTATTGAGCTTATTGTTAAAAATATTATCCTCCGATTTCCTTATCTTTCAATATATCATTTTCAGATAATTTTTCAGCGTTATACTTTTCTTATAACAACAGGCAGCAATACCAAAAAATAAAATAAAATAAAAGGTCGGAAGATAGTCCCAACACACCATGCCATGCCTTAAATAAATCATTATCCATTTTGACAACGAAGTTTAAATAATATCTTTGTTCGAACTACGAAAGATTCGTGAATCACGGACTATTTCTACATGCAATTAAATAATTAATTAAGCAAGTTCTTATTGAAAAAAGAAAACTACTTTTGTGTGTTTGAGCAGTGCTTTGGTGCTTAAAATTTCAGACATTGCTGATGTGGTGATTGCATCAGAGATATCACAGTCTACCTTGGATTTTAATCCTTTACTGTGTTATTGTTTTTTCTGAAAACAGATAAAAGTGTCTCCTTTGAAGACAGACTTTGTTTTAAATTATAGCAAGAAAAAGCCAAATTGGAAGTCAAATGGGTCCTGAATAATTGAGCTCAGTTTGAACTTATCCTCAATTTTCTAGTGTTTATTTTTTGTCACGGCCAGATTCTCAAAGCTACTTTCCAGAAAGTACCCTTTGCTTTTATTCATGGTCTTCAAAATCACTAAGTGGATTTACTTCAGATACTGTCCCTAATAAATATCTACCTTGGGAATTTTGTACTTGAAAGACCATCATGATTTAGATTAAATAA